GACTAAGTATATCCTACCACCAGCCACAAGGCACAACAGGGTCCGAGGCCACATATTTATTTGCAGATACTGGGGGGGAAAATCGTAATGGCTCAAGCTAACATATCACTGGCCCAAGTTTCACACTAATGGTCATATGATCCCTCAAGTACTGTTTCTCAGACAAACAGTCTCTTCTTTTATAAAGCCAACAGCTTGTAAAAAGGCCTAAGTTAATCAAGCTCCTTTACTTTTTAAACGATGGAACCTCTTAACAGAGGAAAACAGACCTTTGAAAGAAATATTTCAGGAAAAGGTGAAGCTAGGGAGTTTCAGGAAAATGTGTGATAAAATTCCATTGCTTTTCCAAAACAACAAAAACTAGTTTCCCAAGCCTCTAATACAAAAGCAGAGCAGAAAATCAAAGTGTGTTCTCAAATTACACTATTCCTAAGGGAAACACACTTCACTTGCTAGTTCAATGAATAACTCCATAGGGTTATTTTATTTACAAAGGAAAAAAGACAATATAGACTGAAAAATCCCCAAGTGTGTGTGTGTGTGTGGGGGGGGGGGGGGGGGTACCCTACAGAAATATACAGTTTCATGGAGAAAACTTACCTGCCTTAAATAAATATTTAGTTAACTGAAGAAAAGCTTTTCAACAATGAAACAACAATGGAGAAAGACATAACAAAACAGCATTCGTCTGTCTAACCACAGAGCAAGCAAAATGACAGTCCAAAGAGATAAAGGTTGTAGGGTAAGAGAAGAAAAACAGTGCTAAGATACAAAGTAAGATTCTGATCTATTAGCATCAATGTGACGAAGACAACGAACACACCTTTCACGCAGGCTGCCTACAAGGACAGCGTCCCCGTACCTCTGCCTTCCATCATCCTGTTCATGACCAGAGTCTAGGAAAGTAATAGATATGCCCACAGAAACGCTGGCCTGGCCTGCACCCAAGTCAGTGACTTCAACTGCTCCACATTAATAACAAAAGCTGTACAGAGTGGACAGGCAGGGAGAGGGGAAGAGATGAAAGACTGGTGCAGACTTCTAAGAGCAAATCTATCTCCTGTGAAAGAAACTGGCCGAGCACTGTTCAGAAACAACAGCCTTCTCGATGGAAAAAAAAAAAAAATCAGTTCTCTTTACAAAGCCTACAGTTTTTCCAGGCCAATTAAAAACAATTATTGATTGATTTTTAGAGAGAGAGGAAAAGAGAGAAAAACATCGATCAGTTGCCTCCGGTACATGCCCTCACTGGGGACTGAACCCACAACCTAGGTATGTGCCCTGACCGGAATGGAACCCCCAATCTTTGGTGTACGGGATAATACTCCAACCACTGAGCCAGCTGGCCAGGGCCATGCCATGTTTTTAAAGTTTGCATTAAATTCTAACAAAAAGGGTTTTCACTGTAATGGACTGTAGTTAACACAGAGTGTATGTGCCAGGAACCGTCCTGAGCACTTTATACAAATTGAAACAGAGGTTCTCCAACAACCTGAAGAGATAAGTGCTATTCGCCTCAGTTTACAGTTCAGGAAACTGAGGTACTGAATATGTAAGTTAGTTTTCCAAGATCACGGGGCTAGTACAGTTAAACCCAGACTACCCCACGTTGAACCCTGCTAGTGCACACAGCCCCATCCGACTAAACCTTAGGGAGGCCTCAGTCACTGCTACTCCCAGGGCTACATTTTGGGGCTACTCCCTGGATTGGAGGGGAAGGGCAGAGAGCTACCTTGCATTGAGTCCTTGTTTTATATCAGCCCCTTCATAAAAGATAAATGCTCTCATTTATCATGTGATATCAGCATTATGATGATTATTCCCATTTTACAGATGAAAAACTGAGACTATGTAAAGGGTTAGTACCCTGCTGAATGCTAGTGAGAGGTATCTGAACCTACATCTGTTCTTAAGAGTCCATGTTCCTGCCCTTGAAGAAAGCATCCTACCGCCCCAGTCACAGGCTCATCCCCTACATGGGCAACCCATCCAACAGCCGGAGATGACTTCCCATATTTGAGCTGCCTGAACAACTGGAAAGAACATGGGCAGTGAGGGAAGAAAGGTCAGTGAAATTCCAACACAACAACAAAAAACGAAGCAAACAAAAAAAGAAACCCCCACTCTCAAACCATCGAAATTTCCCAATTAGGTAACAGAAAGCATATTTGGTGTATACAACCTCAGTACAGCTGCAGAAAATTATGAGCTGTAAATACAACCGTGTATTTCTGATGTACATAAACTCAGCTTCTGTTAATCATACTATGTTTTAAATGCACTGGAGGAACTCACTATTAAAAAGAATTCTGTGGTCCAATCCCTTTGTAAAGTCAAAAGTTCTTTTACAATAATCACCCTCTAATGTACTTTCTAAGATTCTGAATATCCAAAAGCAGGTATGTTCTAATTTACAAACCTAATGAGGTATATAATAATCCAAATGATCTTACACAGGCTTGGGATCTAGTTCTGCCTCAAAATTGAAGAAATGGACCATTACACATTTTCAGACTCTTTTTTCTAGCCTGTGGGTCAATAAATTGCTAAGTTGCCTATCATATCAACAAATAAATTAGTGTCTACTACATCTTGGCCAATAATTTGTTGAAATAAAAAGAGTAATAGGGATCAAAAGCCCGGTGATGAAAAAAAAAAAAAAAGGATCATGAAACTATGACTCACAAAATGAACAGACATAGGGCTTTAGGATTCAATCTCTTCATTTGATGGATAAGAAAACTAAGCCCCAAGAAGTACACAATCTTTTCTAAGTCTTAACGAGAACCAGTGGAAGAAACAAAACTAGAACCCATGCACTAATATGCAATTCGGTGTGTGCTCCATGGTCCAGAATTGGCTCCCTCTAATGACTAAGATAACACAGTACTGTAAGCTCTAAAAGAGCCGGAACTGTGTCATATTTCCTGTTTCTAAGATCCTACAAACTGCCTTGCTTAATAAATATTACTACTTCTCCCCATATTACACCTCCCAGAGGTGGTGCAGTATGCTACCCCCTACTTCATTTCGGGTCTTTTTAGCAGATTCTAGGATCTCAGCACATAGCTGTACAAGATCAGTGCCAAATTTACACAAGGAAAGAGGGGGCACAAGACCCAGATGTAGTGTCTTAAGGACCTGCTATGAAAGGACTCAGGATTGGAAGGCACAGACACTTGCAAATCACTCACCTGTCTAGTTTAAGACTCCTCTGCTCTAAAAGGAATACATTGTACTTCCTGACAGCTAAGGAGGCCTCTTGCAATATTAAATGTCATTATTCCGTTTAGTCCTTAAATGTATAACTTTTATACACACACACACACACAAATATTTTAGTAAGCCCCTTTCAATCTGCCTGTTTGGTGGGTTACTGTGAATCTTAGGGGTAGACAAGTAGTCCCCACCCCACCTGCCCCAATGAATGAGGCAGGGAATGGGAAAGCTTTTCTCCTCGGTGGCCACTGAATCCTCATTTCCTTTCCTAACACGTTTACCAGAAAAGATCCTCGGGTCTGGGGGATTAGGCCCACTGCACTTCTAGTTTTACTCTTGGATCAGGGCCCAAGGCTGGGCCTATCACATCAAAAGTACTGTTGCTGGGCTGCGCTCTCCCCAGACAGGCTGCGTTCCCCCAAGACAGGCTGCCTCTGTTTGGTATCTGGTGAGACCTTGAGCAGAAGAGGGCCCCTCGTCAGGGTCGGCCAGGACTGTGGAGCTGGTCTGAGGCCAGAGGCACAGGTCAGAGAGAGGCCAGGGCCACTGGGAGGCCAGCCTGGAGTGTGAGCCCTGGTGTGTAATCTAAAACTCGAGGAGGTGGTTAAGAAAGAAATACTCAGACAAGGAAAGAACAGAAGGGATTTGGAGACTAGAAAAATGAGACCATGAGTGAGCGGAGAGTGAGAGATTACCTTGGAAATTCCAACCGTCTCAAAAAAGCAAATGTTACTGTCTTCCAAGTGAGTCAAAATAGCATGCATATATTATTGTGTCTGTGAGCTAAGTGGGACTTTATTAATTGCTGTTAAGCATAACGAGTTTTGCTACTAATACCTATGTGTCGAGAAAAAGAAAGGCCATGACAGAATTCTCATATATTAAAGAAGGAACCGAAACATACACTATATATGTGTATAGAACTCCACAGATTACAAATCACCTTCATGTGCATCTTCTGCTCTGATTCTCAAAACAACTTCATGACATTTGAAGAAACTAGGCTTGAGAGGTTGATGCAATTGTCCAAGATGCTCAAACTGCTAATAGCACCTGTTTAGATCTGCCTGGGGCCCTTCAACCCCACCCCCACGTCTTAAAACTACTTTCCCTACAACTCCGCCCCCCCTTTAAAAGAAATCAAATTTATTCCTTATTCATTTTTTAATTTCAATTTTATTTAATTCTAGCATTGAAAGAAGTTGCAAGTTGAATATCATTAAACAGTGTTTGGATAGGCTGCTCACCACTGTCCCTTGTACTGCAAAGCAAGTTAGCATTTGATGGGTTAAATACATTTTGAGGGCTAGTCTGGAAACTTTACTACCACATATGCTACACTATTGTTTCCATAGGCAGCTCTGTTCCAAGTTCCAATCAATTGACTTAAAAGAGATCTTTTGAAACACATGAACATTGGCCTAAAAATAATTACCACTGCAAACTTAAGGAATTTCTTGGATTTCACTTTTCTTTTTCATTTCATTTAAATATATACAGACACACACAGAGCCTGTTTTCACTGAGCTGCACGGACAGTATGAAAAGCTAAGCATTTCAGTATAACAGAAGAAATTTCATAAAACTCCCACATGTTATGATTGTGGATAACATAAAGAAGTGGGAAAGTCCCCTTCAGGCCCCACACTCTGCCAAGACATCTGACATGCTCATGTCTGCCAGGACTCCGCAGTTAGTCAAGTTCAGAACCCACTTTTAGATAAATCAGCATAATACTGTAATGATTTAGAAAGCGTGTCTTACCAGAATAATTAACTTTTTGAGGCCCTCCAGATTTGTTTTCAGAAAAATGTCTCCCGGCCAAGGGATTTCAAATACTAAAAGCAGAATGGCGTGTTTTCAGTTATGAATTTTCAACGAATCATCCACATACATGGTTGAAAGTTGTTTCACTGAGAATTCAGGTGCCAGGTTTAAGAAGATAAAAATTCCAGCTCATATATACAGAGATAAATAAGAGAAGATTTGTGATCACTGTGGCTACTAAAGGACACTGGTGACCAGAACATAGTCCTGACAACAATCTGCCAGTTGGGTTTCCCCCTACCTCAAAGAGCAGGTATTGTGTGCACCCGGTGGCTCAGTAGCCTGCCATTTTCGCTTGTGCCCTCACTCAGGACAGTCCTTCCAGGATATTCTTGAAAAAGACAGACTAAGAATGATAGGGATCAAAACAAAAGGCAGCCACCACGCATGAGGAACTCTGAATGGCCTCATTTCAATCCCAAAGCGTCTCAGTCTGCCGATCCTCTATAATTTTTGATGAAGGACAACATAAACCTGTTTAAAGCTGTTTGTAATCAAAAGGTACAAAGTGTGAGAACCAAATTCCCTCAGTTATTGAGATGAGTCTTAAAATAACCACAAGCAGCTAATATTTAATTTGGTGTTCTTACCTCTGTGAGAATTCTCAGTAAGATACAAAATGCCTTTATAAAACATAACCTACAGAAATATCAGGTAGGCCATTATCTCGATTATCTAGATATCAAAAGCAAGTCATTTTTTTTTTTAAAAAAAGGCAAATTATTTTTCTTTAAATACTCTTTTCTGTTTCTTTTTTAGACACAAGCACTTAAAATAGTCTAATGTGAGGCCACTACAGCTCTGCAGGGCTGGGCCAGAAATCCAGCCATATTCTAGTGAGTTTGCTCTAATCTTTTAAGTCTGAAAAACAGGTAACACATTTATTAAATTCTTTTTTTAGTGGTGCTAGCCTTTACCTTTTCTGTGATATAATTCTCAACCCCCCTCATCTGTTTCCATAAGCATGTTTTCTTATTTTGAGTTGCTTGCAAGTAGACTTACTTGCCCAATCTGTGAACAAACTTAAAATAGAGAAGCCTACTGTCCAAAATCAACACTACCTCAAATACCTGTACTTTTTCTTTTTTGTATTCATCAATCCCCCGGGTCATAGTTTCTTCAGGTACAAAATGGTGGTGCGTGTTGGAGCGGAAGTGGGCAAGAAGCACCAGGAAGAAGCAACATGCTCCAAGATCTCTACCTTCCCTTCCAACCCCCAAATTCTATCATTTGCTGGTTTCTCTGGTCTGCCTCTATCCCAGACATGAACTCCTGTAGAGCAAGGGTTCTTAAGGAGGAGGAGGCGGGCTATTTTGCCCCCTAGACATTTGCCAATGTTGGAGACACTTGTGGTTAACACAGCTGGGGGTGAGCTGTGCTACTGGCATCTACTGGGTAGAAACTGAGGATGCTGTTAACTAAACATACTACAATTCACAGGCAGCCCCATTACAAAGGATCATCCTGGCCAGCACTGCCGATAATGCTGAGGTTGCGAAGTCCTGCTGTAGGGCAGTGGTCGGCAAACCGCGGCTCGCGAGCCACATGCGGCTCTTTGGCCCCTTGAGTGTGGCTCTTCCACAAAATACCACGTGCGGGTGCGCATGTACAGTGCGATTGAAACTTCGTGGCCCATGCGCAGAAGTCGGTTTTCGGAAAGGAGATAGACAAAACAAGTATACAAGACGAGTGTGGGTGGGAGAGTTAGAAGGGGTCGACCTCAGCGAACGTACCTCAATCAGATTGAGGACGTTTTTAGCAAAGGCCACCTTAGGAGTACCCTAATTAAGTTAATAACAATGTACCTACCTATATAGTTTAAGTTTAAAAAATTTGGCTCTCAAAAGAAATTTCAATCGTTGTACTGTTGATATTTGGCTCTGTTGACTAATGAGTTTGCCAACCACTGCTATAGGGTAACAAACCTGGGAAACTAAATCATGTGTCATATTCAGAAAACTGTGGAGGCCATTTCCTAAAATATTTACTCCCTTTCCTTTTCCTAGACAGGCAGTTCAAACACTTCAGTTCCTAAAAGGGAAGCAGAAAGCAACAGGACTTATTCATGGTTCCCTTTCTTGCACTATCTCCCTTTTTCTCTTACCCATACTGCTGAATGATCAATGGTGGAATGCAAGATGAATGAGCCATGGTCCCTGCCTTCCAGGTGCTACCATCTAGTGAAGGAGACAGAAAAATCAAAGTGATCAGAACTTGGATAGAGAAAGATGCAATGCAGTTTGCAAAAAGTCCACGGGTTCTTTAAAAGACCCATTAGATATCAAAACCTCATTTATTCGGCAGATATCACCAAGAAGCCTTCACTGGCAAGTTTTGACATAGATCAATCCCACTAGAAATTGTTCCTGAGCTATGCATATCATCTCTGTCCTTCTAAGGCAGTGGTTCTCAACCTTCTGGCCCTTTAAACACAGTTCATGTTGTGACCCAACCATAAAATTATTTTCGTTGCTACTTCATAACTGTAATGTTGCTACTGTTATGAATCGTAATGTAAATATCTGATCTGCAGGATGGTCTTAGGCGACCCCTGTGAAAGGGTCGTTCGACCGCCAAAGGGGTCGCAACCCACAGGTTGAGAACCGCTGTTCTAAGGTATTATGTAATCAGATGTCCCTCTAAGAAGACAACAGTATCCAAAGGATTATTGGGTTTTCTGGTCCTGCAAGTCACTGGATTCTTTTTTGTAGGGAGAGGTTAGAAAAGAAGGCCCAGATGGCAGAGCAATGACTGCACAGTGGGAACCACCTGCTTTCTAGGATATTCTGGGATGGAGCCAAGGGAACCGTACAATTTTTCTTCTGAACCAAGATACTTTTAAGAATGAGTTATACCGGGACAACAGTACAAACCAAGACAAGTGCTCACCAAAGCCATCACAGCTCTGGCAGCACTTCTGAAGTAAGTCAGGTGGACAATGATGCCCACATGAACCTGGGAATAGCTGCAGGTACCAAACATCAATATGACTTCAACTTTTTCAGTCAACTAAAAATCTGTTATAATCCAAAGGAAAGAAACTTGATACTCAGTATAAAATCAACACGGAACACACCCAAGCAAGTGCCAAATCTGAAAAGGCTGAACATACTCTGTTTATGAATCTCAAGTATGAGATTCCCACAGCAGTGGGCACCAGGTGGGAGTCAGAACAACTGTTAAACAGCTTCTGGTCTTTAAGTTTAGCTGATATGCTGACCCTCCTAAGATACTGACCCTCCAATCAGCACACGCACATTTCTGGGACCTGCAGTCAACGCAAACCCTCAGTTAAAAGTCATTTGACTTTACAGGGTTGTCATGTTTAACCACATCCTGGTCCATGGACACTTGTCTGTACCAGTCAAGAGACGGCCTCCGTAACGCTTCCCTTTCAAGTTACACTATCAGCAAGATGTATGGGGTCATGGGCATTTGAGCGGAGCCAAGATGTTAGACATTTAATCTAGAGAATCCTAGAAAACAGGATACCAACCTCTTGAAAACAAAAATATTTCCAGGAAGGATGAAGTCAATACTGTCCTTTTTCCAACTCATAAATATGGAGGTCTCTAAAGAAAACACTACAGTCAGACAGGGAGCTCGTAGATGAAAAACCAAACCAAAATCATGTGCTAATGCTTTGGGCAACTACCGAAGGCTGGATGTAGGAGTTCAGTGCCTGCATGTGTGTTAGGAGGCTGGAGGGGCCTGGGAAGACCTCAGGTACAGCCAGCAGCAGTGGCAGCACAGCCATTCTCTCACTTTCTTTTGAGCTTATGAGAAGCAAGAGGAAAATCCTGAGGAAGATGACACAACTTTCACAAAAGTCAGAAGGCCAGTTTGTGCAACTTCTATTTTAGCTCAGTGTTCTAGATTTGATCAAGAAAGAGATTTAAAACTGGAAATGGTAGCCCATCCTAAAAAGAGGGAACAAAGGCCACTTTTAAATTTTAGCCACATCTCATCCTCAGGAACCAAGAGGATGATAACTGGCACGCTCTCTACACATGAAGGTGGAGGTTCCATAGAAGAAAGGGATACATACAAAAAGGGTAAACCAAACGGGTCAGCTAGGATCAATTCAAACAAAATCCTACCTTGCAGTTTTCAAGTCCATGGTCTATTAAGGCTTGGGGGAAGGAGGGTAGCAGCAATGGCTTATTGTATTTTTCAATTTCATGTCAATTACCCTAACATGTTTTTTGATAAGCCTGGTATCAGAGAAATGACATAAATAGAACAGATCGTCATCCCAACACTGTCTGGATGAAATGAAGAAATGTGAGATGGATGACATAGTTTAAGTATGCCCAGTTTTTTTGAAAGGCCATCCTATAAGATTAATTAGTAAGTGGCTGTAATCTGAAGAAAAGGTCTGGTGTTATTTTTTTTTAGTTGATGATTATAATAATCACATAGATGAAGTTTGAGAATATGCTTATTGATTTTGTAAATGACACAAAGTTAGATGAAAGACAATGTTCAAAAGAATCTTACTGTAGAATGTAGAATTCTGCACGGACAGCAGTGAGGTGGCATTCTAATAGAGACATAGATCAATTTTTGAGTCCCATATGTAAGTATAAGCATCAACTGTACAAAGAGAAATGCTGGAGACCTGGTTTAACAGTACTCTAGAGTGAGAAGTAACACAGCTGTTAAAAAATGCAATCTTCAGCTGCATTACTAAAATTAAATAACCAGATCAAGGGAAGAAACAGTCCACTAGGCATTACCCAGGTTGAAACCACACCTAGAGAAACGAGTTAAGTTCTGAGAGCAGCATTTTAAGAGAAAATTAATTATTTCAGAAAGATCAGGTCGATTAAGAGTATAGAAATCACTCCACAAGAGAAACTGTTGAAGGTTTGGCCTACAGAACACTCTGTGGGGGATGGGATGGCTTTTTTCAACTATTTACAAGGCCATAATGGGACATCCCCCGATGAAACATCCCCTGTCAATGTCCCTCTAGAATGTAAATGCAATACTCCAGTGCTAGCTGGACAATAGGAAGCAGAGAAGCATGACCTCTCTAGTGTTGGGCATTCTACTTGAACAGCCTAAAATGGAATTAGGCCTTTTGGCAACTGCATTACACAGTTGACTCATAATGAACTTAGACCAAGCTAAAGCCATTGTTTTCTCTTATGAAGACAGTCAAAGCTGTTGGTCTCAGCAATTATCACCCCTGGACATCACACTATATATCTGTTTGCTCAACGTCTGTCTCTCCCCACTAGACTGGAAGCTCCATGAATGCAACAGTTTTACCTTGTTCACAGCTGACTATCCAGCACCAAGAAGTCCTGTTCCATAGCAGACATTCAGTAAATACATACTGAATAAACACATGACCATTAAACAACAACAAAAAGGCTATACCGGAGATAACAGCTAAAGGGAAAAAGAGTAGCCTTTTTTTGTATGGCTCCAAAAGAGAGAACTGGTAGCCACTACAAGTTAGAGGAAGGCCAATATCAATGCAAGAGAAACCTTCCCAATATTAGAGCTGTTCAAAACAGAACAAGCTGCTTCTTGAAGTAAGACTGTTCTTCTTAACTAAAAATATTAAATTAGATATTGGATGAACTAGGTAACCAAGTATTTTTGAGACTCAATGATTCTTCATAGAAACGAGTTCTGTAGTAGCAATGGGGATGACAGGGATGTCCCATTCAACACAGGAATCTCTTTCACAGCATCCATACTGGACAGTTTCCACAACCCACTCCAGATCCACGTTCCACCTACTTCCATTCCGCTCTGAGCTTGGGGAGGCTGAACTGTTAAGGACTGCACCAAACTCTCACTCTTTGGTTTTTTATTGGGTTTGGCTGTAGGGAATATAGGGCGAGGAGCCTAGGATCAAGTGACCGATCCCCCGGCTGCACCCCTATGTGTTCTCAATAGGTGGTCACTCCCCTTGAATGAAGACCTCAGCTTCTGCAAGGCAGCCATTTCTACACAGCCCTCTCTCTCTTGGCATTTGGTAACGAAATGGGAAAGGCAACTCTTTTCTCCTCTTCAGCTGTAGGTACTGGCCCTTGCCCACCCCTCTTACTTGCCCCTATATGCTCACTAGACTCTATATATTGGTAAGTAGTCTTTTTACTAAATGTTCCTCAAAATACCCAACTTGAGTGTTGCCACCTGCTTCCCACCAGGCCCCTAACCAATGCCCCATCTAAGCGGGTACTCACCCAGTTTCTGCTCGAACACTTCCAGGTCAGGGAGGGAGCACCCTAGGTTTTAGAGAGCTCTGTTGCACAGCTGTAATGGTTACATGTGTCTCCTTCATATCCAGCCAACTCTATCATTCTTATTCATAAGTTTTAGTGCGACTATGACAATAACACTAGGCCTTTCGCTTATTTGAAGCCAGTTTTCAAAACCAGCCACGCGAGTGGAAGACATGCAGCCCGTGCAGTTTACAGTTAGTCTTGTGTCTCAGCACAACGGCTCAAACAGCTGGACTTCCTGTGCTTCCGTAAGAGCAGTTCCCGGTTTAGCAAGCAATTTGGCTTCACATCCAATCATTTCTTCAGAAACAGGAAGCAATGTCAGGTTATCTCGCAACAATATCAGATTTTGGACACCAACGGCAGTTATCAGGAAATCATGTCTATGTTATGTTCTTTCTCCAGATGCGAGTTTGTGAAAGAACAAACACCACCAAACTTCTCTTTTCCATCTTTTATTATGGAGGCTGACCTTTTGTGGAAAGTACTAGAGCAATAGGGTATTTTCACTGTGCATTGATTTTTATCTCATAAAACATTAAAAGAATGTATCATGTTGGAAAATACTGTTTTCTCATTGCCATCACAGTGGTATAGAATGAATAAAAATGCTTGGTAAGGGTCAGTATTTCTTTCTATGGCCTAGGGACATAGCAAGCAGTAAGCAAACAAAGATCGGGTGTGAAAAGTAGACATAAAACCAGATGAATTTAGACAAAGGAAAGCAAAGACTTTATAAATTATTACATAAAGAGAAACAAAACCTTGAGAACTGCACAAAATATGAAGAAAAATTTCCATAGGAATCTACTGCCAAGAAAAACTATTTATGGACTATAATTAAAATATTTTAATTGCATATATTTATAGAAATTTGTCATATCTTTGGTAACTTAGGTGAGAATGGAGACGATAAAAGTGGAAGTCATAAGACTTTTACAATTCCTACTGCAACAAATTTTCAAACTGTTTAAATATCTAAGTTCTAGACAATCACAAGATGATGGAGTAGCATCATCTACTCCAAAACAGCACAGTCCTGTTTGGGGGACAACTGTTAGAGAAAAAACAGAAACTAAGAGAACCCCAAGTATTTGGTGCTTACCTCTTCCAACACTGGGCAGCTGTCCTGACCTTTCTCTCATATTTGACCATATAAATTAGCACTAGAATATAAGAAATTCTTTGTCATGCTAGCAGAACCCCTGTTCACTTTTTTTTCTTCAAAAAATAGGGCTTACCAATACTGCTTTCTTCCTTCTCAAAGCCCTGTGGATGTGACTGAAAACACTAGCCCAGAATCAAAGTCCATGCTGCAGCCAAGAGGAGCACTCTGTGAAGGGCCCATCACCAGAACTTAAAGACCCTCATCCGAATTTGCAACTCTACCTCGGACTTAAGGCTGGTCCAAATAGCTACAAAAAAGATGAGAACTGTACCCTCAAGCCCTTGCTCTTAGAGGGGAACTTATTATAGTCTGTTTTATTAAGGCTTCAGTGTAACTGAAATTTATTCTTCTGGAAGAGAAAAGAAAAAAAGCAAACATTTGCTGACATATCCAAATATGACACATCCAATATAAAAGTGAAAAGCAATTGCCCTGGGCTCTCCTACAAAGAGGCACTCTCCAAACACTCTCTCACTCTCTCCCTTTTAAACTTGGGACTTCTTGGTATATTTATAAAGAAATACTATAGAAGTTTCTTTCTAGAAACATTGAAAATTTCCCCAGTCCTGCTATCGAATACTTGGTCCAGTTCAGCAAACATTTATTAAGTTCAAACTATGTGCCAAACACTAGGTCACTGCACTAATAACAAGAAGATAGCTGTTTTTTTTTCCAAAAAATGGAGTTATTTTTCCTTAATTCCTAAGACAGTGTTTTGGCATCCAACTAGATATAAATTACAGCCTTAGCCTTATGACAGCTAGGTGATCTCCAATGATTTCATTCATTACTTTAAAAACTATTTATTGATTTTTGGCTATTTGCAAAGCTACTTCTGATAGCAACAGAAATGTCCCCGTCTCATGTAGTCAAAAATGACATGAGAGATAACCAAAAGCAGAAGTTGAAAGTGTGGAAAGACAAAGAACTGTGAGAATCTGAAGGAAGACACTGCTTATTACTCAAGGGACCAAGGGAAAAATTCAGAAAGTTGCATTGAAAGGTGTGGTACATGCACAAAGAGAGGTAAGAGAAAGAAGCCTGGGAAAATTATGAAGGGCCTTGAAGACTGTAAAATTTTTAAATCAAAAATAAATTTAATCCATTTTGGATAAACAAATTGTGATATAGCCATAAAATGGAATGGCAGTAACAAGGAATTAAGTTCTATATGCCACAACATGGAAGAACTTTAAAAACATAACAAGTGAGCGAAGCCAGACACAAAAGGCTACATATTCCATTATATGAAATATCCAGAATAGGCAAATCCGTATAGACAGAAAGTACACTTAGGGATTACCTAAGGCTGGTAGGGGACTGTTTAGGCGATATGAGGAGTGACAGCTAATGCATTTGGGGCTTCTTTTGGGAGTGATAAAAATGCTCTGGAATTAGATAGTGGTGATGGATGCATAGTTCTGTGAATATACTGAAAACCACTGAACTGTACACTACAAAAGGGTGAACTTTATAGTGTGTGATTTATAGCTCAATAAAA